CGTTCCAATACAAATTGCGGACATACGTTGTTGCCCTCGTTAACTCATCTTCCTTTTTACGTTTCTACTTCAGCTTATACCGCATCGACTTTGTTTTAACTCTTTTACAGCCCTGTTATCGTGCTGTTTGCCGCGCAACTTTATTTCGGTAATATTGAAGTTATGCAGTTAAGTAGGAAAGTTAAGGCCAAAGGCGAAACTTGTCCACGCGGGCCCGCAGCCGCCACGTTATTCTGGAATTTCGCGCTGATTTGTTAGCAACTTCGTTTGGCGGAAACATATTATATGCGAACGAACGCGAGCGCGTAACTTCTCGCGTGGAAGTAATTTAACTTCGCAATTACACGTGCCCTTGAGTCCGTTCGGCTAATCGAACTTTATTTCATTCAATTTAAAATCACGAGCGAGCGCGCGAGATATATGGATTCGCGCGATCGCAACTATTTTGTAACCTCGATTCGTTATACGTTGCAGTTGGAATTACTTACTGGTAAATTCTATGCGCGCGCGTCAAACTTACTGGAGAATTTTCTTCAATTTCGCGACGGCTTACAAAATCTCGCGCACATTCTCAAATCTCGCACGATGACGTCGAGGAAGCTCATGGCGCTTCAATCCGATGCGCGCGCGACGCATCGAATAAAACGCGTGATTTTCCCCGTGTGCGGCGCGCCCCCACTTCCCATTGGATTCCACACGGTTGATCGATCCGCGCTTTGAGAACTCACTATGTATGTATGTCACCGTTAGTAACCTGTCACATGGGAGTAATTAAACTTTCTCGCTCTTTATACACATAATCCTATCCCGGTGATGCACAGAGTTCACCTCCCCGATGCGACACGTCGGGGAATCAGCAATACTAAATCTATAACTTCCTGATAACACAGAGAGTTACTACAATTTTTAAATGTGCATACGTGTTATTCCAAAAACGGCTCGTATATATATATATATATATATATATATATATATATATTATATATACAAGCTAATTTTGGAATAACACGTTAAAAATTGTATCTCTCTGTGTTACCAGGAAGTTATAGATTTAGTATTGCTGATTCCCCAATGTGTCGCATCGGGGAGATGAACTCTGTGCATCACCGGGGTAGGATTATATATATATATATATATATATA